TACTTTACATATATATTGCAAACACACACACACGCGCACACACCATTTTTGCACAGTGCAGTAGCATAATCGTATTTTCCCTACCGCGTCTGTTTGTAAAAACAGAAAAAGAATATCGTAAGAGCGGTTAAGCGTGCACAATAGACATGTTTAAGCATGAAAAAAGCATACCTATTCCGTAGCAATAAAACATTACGCGCAATCAACCACTATATGTGACACACCTAAATGCATGCATGTACGGTCAGATGGTTGCGAGAGAAGAGGAATACGAAAACGTGGAGAAAGTCTTCGAACATGCGGCATGTTCGGTGTGCACAGAGAGAGAGAGAGAGAGAGAGAAGGTTACGAGAAATGCGGCTACCGCAACACACGCGGTGGCCGAGACCAAACCAAACCAAAGATTAATGTACTACACTTACTGGGGCAATTTGCGCCAAGTGTCGGCTGTAGAACTGGGTATACCTCGAGTTCTGGGGGTAGATTTGTTCCACGAGCACTTGTGGGGAAATCCTTCTGTCTTTCCCCATCCCTGAAAAATAACTCGGGAGAAAAGTTCCGAATCTATGGAAAAAACACGGAAAGTGGGAGAATGATAAAACTTTCCAATATAAGGTGTCCTGTATGAATCTCTCTCTCTCTCTCTCTCTCTCGCTCCCTCGAACGAGATAAATACAGCGTGAAAAATCCATCGACTTCCGCGACTAAATCGCGAAGTCGCTCAGAAAAATCGAGCTTCGAAAAAGCCACCCAGCGATACGCTAATTAACATCTTCGAACGGACGAACGATCGCCGGCGGAATGAACGCATCCAGCAGCGGCGACGTATCAAACGAGGGCAGGATATAAGCAAATTAAATATGCATAATTAAAACGAAATAGCGACGGGCGGAACGTCGCTCGTGCGGTTCAGGCTGCCTCGAATCAGAGTGAGGGAAGAGGACCTAAGGCAAGGAACATTCTCGTAGCAACATCTGGCCGCTATGAAGTATAAAGAGGCATGCGATATCATCCGCAGTGAATGCTTAATTAAAACCTCAGACTCCTCGGCTACGCAGTTCCCCCTAGTCGCGCACTAATCGCAAGAACCGTCGTTGCTGTTCAGCACGATCCGGCTCACCTTTACGTACGTATCTTTGCGTCGGTGACAATATCCCCCCGCGCTCCTTTTCACTCTAAGAATTATTTTCATCCCTCGCCGATCGCGCGTCTCTGCTCTTATCGCATCGCGACGAACAATTATCAAACGTTTCCAGCTATAAGCCATTGTTTAATTATTAAATTATTGTATATATATATATATATATATATATAAAACTTAAATCAGGTGCTTTTTGTCTTTGAATCGCGTTTCTCATCTCAACACCCAAACATCCGTGAGAAATTAGGGGCCAGTCTGGGTAAAAAGTTTCCTAGACTGCTCGTCGCTCATACACGACCGATTTGAATGGAAATTCAACTATCGATCGAGACTTTCCAACGAACACGATGCTTAATGATAATTTTTGAGCGACACTTGGTATAATGCGGGCGGGTCAACTTTTAAAAGCAGCTAGTGAAAGTGGAATTCCATAACACTTCCGGTAGCATATTAGCTATCAGTGGAACGAGAGAAAATTTCACTTGAAGCGTCTAACGAGTTCGCTTTTACCCCAGACGTCGAGGAAGAAAAAGTTGGAAGAGAGTCGGCGGGGGCTCGGAGCATTTTAGGCACGAAAAGCGAGCTCTTCTTTCCAATGAAGCAAGGACCCGGCAAAGACCCGTCTCAGTGATCCGGTGATTGACAGGTCGAGCCCTACTCGCGGACTCGTGCCGGTTGCCATGGCTAAAATGGCGATGAAAGATGGTTTGCTTTAATGGTGGATATGCTACTCCCGGTACACACACTTCTTGTAACTAATTATAACGACTCGTTGAGCGAAGAACCATAACCTAGCCAATGCGGAGTGGCTGACCGGCCTCTCTCGTGAAAGTATCAATTGTCAGCGAAATTTCTGTGTTTACACACGAACCACCTGACTTGAACACACACACACACACACATGCACCCACGTATATATTTTCAAATATATCAAATCATCGCACAAATCATTTTATAATAATATTTAATATCTATATAATCATTCGCAATGCACGCGTTATCGAATCGTTATAACAACGATGCACTATATATACGAGTTTCTTGTATCGCCCGGCAGCGCATACATCAACGCGTCGTTGTGGGAAAAGCAGCAATGTCAATATATATGCAAACGCCGACATAACGATCTATCGGTACGTAAATATACAAAGAGCGAAGACAAGCGTGGGAGAAAAAGCGGCGGTAAGAAAGAAAAGACGAGGGACGCGCGCGCGCACGCTCGCTCACGGCACAGGAGAAAGAGAGAAAACTCCGAGCTTAATATAAAACTTCATTTCGCAATCGGCAGCAGCCAGAGGAAACGAAGAGATCCGGGAACACACAGAAATTCCGCGATCGCGCCACAAAAAAGGGATGCCTGAAGGGATCTTATTTTTCCGGCATTAAGCTTTTCGCGGCGCGGCATTGCTCTAAATATTACTTCTTACTTTCGACAAAATTGCAGCGTCACGTGCTATGAAATAAAAAATTTTCGTGGCAACTTTTTGAGTGTCACGACGGGACGCCGCAAGACGGCGGGCAATCTCGCCGATTAATATAAAGCGGGATGCAGATCGAAACGTTGAAAATTATCGTCTCGCAATTTCCCCGAGGGGGGAGGAATTTTCGGAATACGTTATCAGGAAACTCCGTCTCACACGGCCGATGAGAGTAAAATAAAGGATCGCCGAAGAAAGATAAGTCGCAGTCGCTTTTATCGTCGCACAGGGCGCTGCAACTACGTCAATCTGAGGAGCGCCGCACCCCTTTCCTCTCTCTCTTTCGCCGTGCTCTTTTCTCGAACTTTTCGTTCGTATATTTCGAGCCTTTCTTCCTATATGTTTTCGGGGTATGCCCGGGAAAAGAAGGGGTCGGGCTGCTGAACATCGGTGGCGCGCGAGCGAGGCGCGCGCGATGAAACTTTTAATAAATGGCGGAGTCGATATGAAGTATAGGACTTTGACATATCGTGTGTCTGTAATGTATAGTTAAATCTGGCGGCAGATGTGGCGGGTGTTCTCCGTTCTCTCATCTCTCTCCGTCACCCTCCCGCCTTTCTCGCCCTCTTTACTCTCCTTCGGCTTTCTCCCCTCCCCTCCCCCCCTTTCCTCTCGTGACCATCCGTGCCCGCTTTGCGCCCCGAAATAGTTGGCACCCTTGCCACCACCTCACCGAAATTTCACTCTAGCCCGCTAACGCGATTGAATGTATCTAATGCAGACTCATGAAAAGATAGTGTGATTTGCTTTTAATTTTACACGTGTGTAAAATCCCCGGAAAATTGTCACTTTTCCCGTGTTTTCTCTCACTGTGTCCTAATTTTCATCGTATCATAACCGACCGTTCGTATCATAACTATTGTCTATACATTTATTTGTAATCTCGAGCATTACTCTTAAAATCCATTTTAATTGATATATAAATTAAGACAGTAGTGCCAATATCTGGATGAATGTATCGAACAGATATCGAAAATGCCCAGTACACGCCGACATCGCTAATATAAATCTGAATGTATAGAAATTTCGTCCTTATCGTAGGTCTTAACGTGATATATAAACATGTACGTAAATGCATATACAATTATATAAAATAATCCTATTATATATGCATGTACAATCTTCGCGTAGAATTTATTCGATTGAATGTTACTACGTACACGAGAGATGCAGTGGGCCTGACATTCTCACGCTAGGAAGAATCAATTGTGTGGAGCACGTAAACGACTTGTTCACGCGGATTCGTTCGATTGCCCACGGGTAGTGACACGAATTTTTTTTCGAGCAAAGCGGCAGCGAACTTTTCAATCAAACCGCCTGTCTAAATGAGAGCCACTCCACAAAGCGGATCAGAGTAATCTGTCATCAAAACTGCCCCACTGCGAGCCGTCGTAATACCATCCGGCGCCCCCAGCAGTTCCGACCGTTGCGACAACACGATCGCAGCCGATGCATGTAAACCGATTCAGTTCGCAAAATCCCTTTCAAAGGATGAAGGATCTTTTACTAGTTGCCGCACGAAATGTTACCTCCGAAAAACTGACGGTTTTATTTCAAAACTATGCAGCAGGTAAATTATGTAAGACGTCTCTCTTTCCCCAAAGGGTATCTTACAATCAACTTGACTTGATTTCAGGTAGAATCACTTCTAAGAGAAAATCACCCGTAGGTTCTTTATTTCCTCAGACGTATATTTTTTTTCATCAAAACACAATTTGATCCCCTGTTTCAAGCCGATGTATACGAATAGCGTAGGTGCAACGAAAATGAAGAACAGCAGCCACTAATATAGTTTACGCAGCACGGCTCCGAATTAGTTGGAAGAAATTGGGCCCAGTCGAAATACCGTTCTATTGTTGCAACACGATAGGGCCTAACGTGAAAAAACATCGTTGGATCGAAAGCAAAGGCAACTGTGTCCAGAGTAAACAACAGAGCGCGATACGGTCGGCCGGTTTCCCAATCGCTGACTCCGTCGGCTCGACAATGAACTCGCGGTATCATTCAAGGATTTAACAGAGGTGAGAGATAGTAGCGTACCTTTGATTCGGACGATACGATCCAGCGAAGGTGTAGGACCGCGTGGCCGAGCACGTGAGAAAGTTCCCCACCACTTGGCGCGATATTGAACGACGCGCTCGCGCGTACCGCCCACAGTTGCGCCGGGTAACCGTGGCCGCCCAAACGTGCCCGTCCGCACGAGAGTCGCCCGCCTGCACTCTCACGGCACGGACCTGGTTGTCGTACCCTCCTGGCTGTGTGTGCCCTCCGAGCCCTCCAAGGCCACCGTCGCCACGACAGGCCAGCCCGCCTACGTCGGCGGAGGGCTGTGCCTCATCGTTCGCGTTACCGCTTCATGATTGGTCGCTCCATTCCGACGAGCGAAGTCACGTGACCGGACCACCTCGCCGCATTAAGGGGCGACTTCCACCTCGGTGGCCGAAGTGTCTCCCCGCCGCCCCCTCCTGCGGTACGCGGGGAAAGAGACAGCAGTAACAACAGAGACACCGGGAACGCCGGGAGAAGCGAAAAAGATCGTGGAAATTTCGGTTCTGGTGACTGGAGACGCGACCGTCTCTTTCTATAGTACCGTCCCCCGCCTTTCCTACATCACCTTCCCGGCCAACCGAGTATCCTCCACTCCGTCGGACTTCCCCACCTTCCCGCTATCTCCATCTCCTCCCTCTCCTCCGTCACTTAGCAAGTATACCGCAATCGGTGACTGCTTGGCCTACCCTAGCCTGCCGCTTGCTCGCTGGGTTTTGGCCGATCGGCAGCCGCGATTCGGTACGGCGGTTCTCCGTCGATCGGTTGGACTATCGATCAAATCGTCGCGCGGCTACCAGTGTGATACCAGTGATCTGTGCTCGGTGACTTCTTCTCAGATCGCTCGGTCCGATCTGAATTTGGTTTTACGCGTCCGTAGTGTGAAGCGGCGTGTCAAGTATTGTGAATTCGTTTGAAAACATGCAACTTACACGGTGATGCACAGTAGTGAGCAGTGAATCGAGCAGTTTTCATCCTCGGTATGTTTGTTTGACGTGAAATCACGCGTGGCGTAAGTAATAGGCGTTTCCATCGAGGGAAAGGAGAAGAACATATTCCGTCTTGCTGAAATGACACACGCGCACTTACGTGACAATATACGCGAAGGAGCGTGTCAACGGATTTATACTTTCTTCCAAGGTAAATATTGACTCGACAAGTTTTCACGATTGATAACGGTGCGGCACTAACTTCGGAATTTTTACCGAGTGAATTCAGTGAATAATGTGTCCCACGAAGCCCACCGTACATTGTGAGGAATTATCGGACGTTAAAGAAGGTTTCGCCCGTCTCTTGTAGCCGCGTTTTCAAATACTTGGCTCAATTGTCTTCGCGCGAAAGAAGTCGGCGCGTATCGTTCCATGCGCGGTAAGCAACAAGCGTTGATAAGCAGCAAGCAACGCGCCGAGGAAGAGCCGCGGCGGCCGCAGCTGTCCGGCGATCCGCGGCTGGGTAATCATCTTGAGAATTTGATTCACGCGGGCAAAGATCTATCGAGCGTGAAGACGAGGCCGACGACACCCGTCCTGGCGAACGACGGAGGGGGCGGCTTCTGGCTGGCCACGGTGGCCGCGGGGGCAGGTACCCCGGCCGGGCTGCCCCCGCACGGGACTCATCACCCAGCCATGGAGCCAACGTGCGGATCCGCCGAAACCGGCTTTATCAACAGTCAACCCTCCATGGCTGAATTCATGACGGCGTTACCACAATTAGCCGGAGACAGCAACATGCAACACTCGCCGGGTACCGGCGGCTCCATCAGTCCCGGTACTCACCATCCCGCGTATCATACCATGATGGATCCCCACGGTGTCGCTGACCCTTCGGGTGTCAATGTTCCTGAGTATCCTTGGATGAAGGAGAAGAAGACCACTAGGAAAAGTAACCAGCAAGGTAAGTTGTCAAGGATAGACGTTTAATCTCGCGAACCGTCCGTACAATTTTTCCGCCGAGTGAGAAAACTCTCTCAGAAATTACGAGACGCTATCTCTTGAATATGGAATACCCGATGAAAGATTAGCCACCGGCATTATAAACCGTCTGTATTTGCGACACATTTTTATTCATAATTATCGTCGAATTTCAACGTATCCGCTTTGTCTGTGCAAAAATAAATCAAACAATCGTTAACGTATGTCAAATTCCTTAATTATCAATTGAAGTAAAAACTTCATCGTATTCATTGTGCGAGAATGACATCAACACGCGAGAATCCTGTCGACCCGGGGGCCTATCTTAGGCAAACATAATTACAAATTTGTCGGGATTGTAAAGTGACAAACGTGCAAGTCAATTAACGGTGGCTGGTAGGATTCGGCGCGGCGTTTATAGCATTAGGAGTCTATTGGCTCCTCGCCGCTACATTGTGGCGCGCCACGGGGTGCCATCCGACGGCTAATGACAGTTCTAAGCCGCTCCTTTCCTACTACCGTCGACATACCGCACATCTGGAAGACATAACATGCTCAGGCCTGCGCGTCTGTAAATATTGCGATCCGTATAACATTACATTGTTTCCATTCATGCAACAATGCATGGTCCGGATGCAGCTACCCTTTAAACAATAAGAAAGAAACTGAGCGGCGCTTCATCGATCTTGCGGCTTGTTCACAGAACAATACGTAACACAAGATATAATATACACCAAATATATTTCATCCACTTTTGCGTTTTTCGCACGTGAACTCGATCATGTTTCGCGCGATACAGAAATGAGGGAAAGTAGGGGGGTACCTTCCGGAATAGTGTTTGTTTCGCGAATGAGCGTTAAGTCGGAGATATCTCTGCGGACACTCGTTTTCCAACAACTTGTTGGCTGCGGCGAGAGGCTATCGAGGACCAATAAATTTGTGGAGCCGTTCACGGCACGTTCCACATGTCACCGAAGCTCGCATGTATACGGTAGTGGGTGGCGATACAATTTGGAGGGTTGGCTAACTTTATGGGCCACTAGGGCCTCCATTTGACTACAATCTGTACCCTACCGTCTCGGTCCATTTATCTATCCCCGTTTCTCTCTTTCTCACGGCGATCTCGCGGCAGCGAGACGGCGGATTTAACGTCGTGCCGCCTCCAAAACGCGGTCGGACTATTCACAGGACACGTCGGAAGATTAAGTGTTTGGCACGGAGGTTAACCAGCCGCTGGCCAGGCGGTAACACGCGGAATCATCTGTAAATTGAGCCCTGGACTAACGGGAGAGAGAGCGTCGGGACGGTCATAACTCACATGGGGTGCCGCCACCGACGCCTCGTACACGTCGGCTCTTTGCTTTCAACCACCGTGTTATCCCTTATCGTTGCCCCGTCCGCTCATCTCTTTGTGATTTGTGCGAGCCTACCGGACCTCTTTATAATTATATTCTTGGTGACGAGTGCGAAAGGGAATCGCGCTTAAAAGTGAAAGAAATCAGAAATGTAAATGTGCCCGGCGGTGTAATTAAAAGAAATTTCCGCGCGTCGTTGCGGTTAGATATTTCTTTATTGTCCGAATAACGCTGTTATTAAAAAGAAACACACCGAATATATCAGGAATGATATTGCCCGAATGGCGTTTGGAAATTCCTCCCTCCTCCGTTTCAAAGTCCGCGCTCATAAATTCCCGTGAATTACAATCAACGGGAGAAACTTAAACTCATTACTCCGTTATTATGATTTTAACTGTCGAACCCGCTAACGATTCCCTGCCCAAGACGGTGCCGTCTCCTCCGTCGTCATGAAAACGGTCTCGCGACGAAACCTTAAGTAACCGTCGTCCTTCCGTATATATGTCACCATACTGCTCGTATTAAATTTCAATCTGTTACATCTACGTGCCCTTCGAGCCGAGATGTTTTAGCCCGGGGACGCCATGGATGGGGACGATAAAGGAGGACGTGGTCTGATTAGTTGAGTTATTTGCCAGGAGGAGAAGCGCGACCGACGTTCCATGCTTCGTCGGTAATTCTTGCTGGATACCTTTTCTACAAAAAAGCCACGAATCCATGAGTGTTTTTCCCGACGCCTTGTTCCAGGCGTCTCATCAGTCACGTCGGTGGGTGCCAAAGCAGAAGCGTCAGCCCAGCAGACTCCTCCAAGACGCCGATGTGTCAATTAATCCCTGCATCCCCCGGGATAGGACTAGGCTAGAAGCTGGATTATCATCATCCTCGCCCGCTATCTTCTATCCTCCGTCTTACACCCTCCTGCGGGACGGCCATTTTCGTGGGCGAACTGCTTCTTACCAAACTACGGCCCGGCTACATTTCCGCCATTAATTAATATAGCGCTGATACTTGATACCGCTAATAGTTGAGAGAGCTCGAGACGCTCGCGAATCAGCTAGGCAAAATTATCCGAGAGGTAAATCCGTACCGATCGAAAGTAATGGCGGGCACGGTTAAAAACCGTCGGAATTTCTGAGAGAGAGAGAGAGAGAGAGCCTACACAAATATTGGCGAGCGCGGTGGAATTGAGGGCGTAAAGGCTCGATAACGAAAGAAGGGTGGAAGGAATTGACTATATTCGGCGATTCCATGATATAGGTGATTGAGCGAGCGGGACTTTACCCTCCCTCGGGGTGGGGCGCGCGGTACGAAAAGAACAGAGCATCTAATTTAAAGATTCATTGGCGAGTAAATCCTCGCTGAATTAGAGATAACTCTCCTAGAAAATCCCAGCTACTATGATACTCAGCAGTCCTCTGTCGCTGCGGTTGCTCGTGGAACGAAAAGGGGGGTCTTAAGGCGGCGATATCCGAGAAAAGGGAACGAATTCAATGTACGATAAAGCTTTTCCAATATCTGCTTATGCAAATGATCGATCTCGCATCTATCTCCGCTAATCGATCGGGAAATATTGTACATAAACGATCTAATAAACCAGTTTACACAGGAAAAAAGAAAGAAATTAAAAAAAGGAAAAAAAAGAGAGAAAAGGACGAAAGCACTGTTTACATGTCACAATGATTGTCATGCCACTACCGATCAGGTGTCGTTAATTTTCCCGTGGGATACACGCGTTATCTCACATCATACTCGCATCATAAGCGTCACTACTACTATTGCTTTTACTACTTCGTGCTAACATTCGTAGCGCGAAGTAACGGTAAATATTCGACCGGCGGGGTTGCCCAAACTTGGCAAAGCGAATTATGGAAAGTAAGAAACGTAGTTCTTATGCGTGTACAGTTTTTCCCAGCTCTTTGGTCCTGGCGCAAACATCTGGAGGGATAGCACCGCATAACATATTCCAGATTATCCCCAAAATCGACCGACTACGACGAGCTTTGCAGCTGCAGGGGGTTTCCGCAACGAACGACGCGGGGCGCCGCTCTCCGGGCTCAAATAATAAACACAGTATAACAAATTGATAATCCGGAACCCCATAATCGTACGCGTATTTCGACCCGGAATCTGTAGCCCGACACTAAAAGAAGTTTCCACGCTCGTTGTTGCGCCAAATGGACCGCTATAAAAGCGGTGGGGTTCGCTATGCTCTGTCTTTTCCTCCTTTCTTGCTGTTTTCTCTCGCTCCTGCACGGCAAGATTGCAGCGGAGAGAATATCGCGCGACCCGCTTTTGAGAAACGTAAAGAAATCCTTGTCCTACCGATCGTTTATAAATACGAAATCATGCATAACACAAAGGACATCCATTGGACTTTGTGTATTATATATAATTTATTATACATATAATTATGTATTTGACAAGTAAGGATTCCTTCCTGCTTCTCAAAATCAGATCACGCTACTTTTTCCAGTATAATCTCACGTGACTATAGTTTTATCTTATATATCTTTATATAAAGAAATATATATGTAGAGTGATAAAAATGGGATGAACACACACACACATACACACGTATGTGGAAGCAACTATTCTTCCGACTCATTCATCATTAACATTCATGAAATCATAATCGTAAGACATACACAAATACAACACAGTCTGAAACGCAATTCGTTCTTGCCGGATCTTCTATGATGTTCCATAAAGGAAGCCAAACGGCCGCAATTTTCGATTTTGATAATAATTTTATGCAAATGCTCGAAGGCGAAGCTTTGGAATGGCGACGATATTGTCGGATAGACATCACCCGTGTCGCGTATCTTCCCCTTTCTGGCGACGGCTGATGGGAATAAAAGACGTTGAGGGTTCCTATATCTGTTAGTCTAGACACTCGTAAAAGGAAAGTAGGTGTAAAAATTTTCAGAAAGGATGATAACATATGCCAGAGGGCTAACCACACAATCGGGTGTAACATAGGTCACCCCCTGATCCTTGTTCCTGAGTATCAAACAAAGCAGTGACATAATCAACTATTTTAGCTGTAAATACACTTCAATAGTACGTTGTAATGTAACAATTTTGTTTTCCGATAGGGTTAAAATTATATTTCAATGGAAAATAAATTCGACTTCTAACATCTAGTAAACGCTTTCACAAACAAAACTACTAGTACTAGTACTAGTATCGCAATAAATTGTCCACAGTCGTAATTTTCACAAACCATTAAATCCTACCGCGAATTCGTAGATCTCGAGACAGGTAACTGCCCAGAGTAGTTGCCATATTCTTTTTGCCGCTACATCCCGGAAGATCCCACCTCTACCCGTGCTTTATATTAAAAATGAACTGTCGCTTCCACTGACGACATGGACGGGTATTTGACTGTACTACCGCTTTTATTTGATAAATCGCGGCGCGACCTCCTCTCTCTCTCTCTCTCTCTGTCTCACTCTCGGTCATCTGAATTTCTAATGCATTATTTTTCCTGGTTGGGACTATCCGCCCGGTTGTGTTGAATCGCGAGGGTGAATCGTGCTACGCCAGACGGGGATGTTGGCTGGCTCAAAGAGCGATTAAGAATAAAGCGATGGAAATACGACCGAAGAGCCGAGTTATCTGAGCGAGC